ACACTGCGTAGAAGACTTCAGGACACATGATCGTGGCAGTCTCACCCGTTTGCCAATCGAATCATTCCAATGCGATAAGAGCATCAATATATATATATATATATTATCACTCAAATGGCCCTCTTTTACAAATTGCATGAGGACAAGTCTAGGAGTTGGGAGTCAAGTCAGGCCACGGTGTTGCTGCCTCAAGACTCGCCTCCTGTTGAAGGGGCAGTATTGTCACCATGAGCTCATATTCTTGGTTTCCTAGTTATAAATCAATAATAACAATCTTGCAACCACCACTATGTTATGGAAGACATACTACAGTTCAGTAAACTTTTGAATAACTAGAGAAATAAGAACAGTGTTATGAACCACTTCTCTCTGCTCAAATTCCAGAGGTCTGGCCATGAAGAAACCTGTGTCTAATGCCGGGAGTGTGATTTTTGCTAAGCAAAAGAAGTGCTTTTGGTAGTTTCACTGAGGGAGCTAAGTCTTCACACATTACATCACATCATATCATACATTATTACAGCGAGACAGCTACACTCTCGAAAATCTCCGAAAATTATTACAGAGCCTTTATAGCTTGCTATACAACAATCATCTGACTAACCAAGCTCAACCCACCCTATAGCAATTACGCAGCAAACAACATAAAACATAGAGAGGCTGTCTTCCCAGGTATGCTGATAGATATCGATATCGAGTATACGACCTCAAGCTTACCTAGGCTCTTGTACAAAATCAATATAGTGGATGAGATAATAGGTAATGCCAGTCCTGTATGCTCCCGTTGGGGCCAGCTCAAAGGTAACTGAAGAAAAGCCGGACACAGGCTTATAATTCGAGAACAAATAATATAAAGACCCAGGGCCTTGTAGCCTTAGGTATCACCTAGCTGATGTGGAAAGCTTAAGTGGTGGTGGCTCAGTCTATGTCCTGGAGGAAGCCGAAGGGCCAAGTGACGGCGAGTCTAGATAAGAGGACGAGAGAGCCAAGGACAAGTCTGATGAGAGCATGCAAGATGACGGATCCTGTAAGTACAATGATACCGCCTCATCCTCAATGCAGTCTGTTATCTTGGACCACGACGCCGTAGGGGATCAAGTAACTACGAATGTCGACCTATACATGGGGGGTCCGGAATGACGTTGGTGATGGTGGACTGTTTCGAGGAAATCTTCTCTCCAAAGCGACAGGCACTTGATACACGCAGAGAGACCAGGGAGATCATCGAATCTGGGATGGATCCGCGATGGGATCTGATCGAAGCGGCAAGAGCCCATAGGGCGGTGAAGAACTGCATGAGCCTCGATCCGCCAACCAAATTAATATACCAGAGACTTTTCATAACACTTGCCTCGGCTCTTATCAAGGCTTTCGAGACAAAGGGTACACCGTTGCAGCAGAAATGTGTGTTCCTGACGGACAACAATCGCGTTCGAGTGCGTTCAGACGAAAAGTGGCCTTGTGTACGGCCTCTACACGTTGTATATGGACGTCCACTCCGTACTATTTTGACGGTATGCATCTGGTGGCTCCACTTTTCCATGCCGATTTGCTAATCACAAATTTGGTACACATAAGTCGCACCGCCCTCTACAACCACCGACCAGTGAAGTGCTGACCGATACGAGAGACACATAGCTCACGCGCGATGGCTGAATGTACCAAAAGCCCGTTGATATCGACGAGAGGCCGGAAGGTGACTGGTAGTGGACGCCCTACGTCGAGCCACGGGTCAGCGGCGTAAGTGTTGGTGACGGTCATCCGCCCAAGCCAAAAGCCAAGAGCAGGGCGGTGCCAAGACGGCCCCAAAGTCCGTCCCAGGATGGGGGCGACAACTGGAAACCGGCGGAAGCATGCCGGGGAGGCGCAGCGCCCAGCAAATCAAAGTGGTGGCTCGGTTTTGCCGAAGGAGAAGCAAGCTCTGATGGCCGCTGTCCCAAAGTACCGAGGAGTTTACACCAGCATAAGCCATCCAGGATGGCGTCATTGAAATGGAGGTCAAGGATCGCTCGCAACAGGCGGTCAGGCCATGTATACAGCTCCAGAAGCTCCATTATGCCAGAAGATGACGAGGTGTTGCCGGAGGGGTCAGATCTCATTACCCTGGACACAGGAATGCGGAAAAAGGTGACCAGGGTGGAAACAATCCATCGAGCAAGGAGGGTGACACCGACAGCAAAGGTCGACCGACAAATGACCAGTACGATACAGCACAAGAGCCTCCGCCCAAGCGGGCGGACCTGGCGCAGAAAGGCGCTCCCCGCAGAGCAGCCAAGTGATGGCGGACAGCAAGAGGCCCGCATGCAACGGGTCAGATACATGAAACACACATTGTGTAACCTAGCCAGACCGACTTCCTCAGGGGTTGCTGAGTCGAGGCTGTTTTACAATTGTGGCCATTGGCGCTGGCCTGGGGACCGGGAGTGGTGTCACTCGGACTATAGGCCTCAGAGAATGCCCTGGTGAATACACTGCGTCCCCGTCCTGAGCTTCATTTTCCGCTCACAAACGCGCGGCTTCCTCTTGTTATAGGCCCGGCCGACCCGAGGGCCAGCTCAGTACATGTCCAAAAGTGTAGACTCGATTATAGCGTCGGCAAAGGGTCAGCATTAGTATCTGTGCACATCTGAGACAAGGTTCGTCTTCCTTGGACCTACCGGCTTATACCAATATCGAAAGGGTCGTTAGGCAAGGGAGAATCTTGACTCAGAACATATCAGGTGTTGGAGTCGCTAGAGGGGTTCACCCAAAATGCCCGTCAGCTTCCGGGTCTCTCCTCTCAACCTGCGATTCTACCTGATACTACAAAACTACAAACGACCACCGGGGTTGTTCTTCTCTTGTGGCATTCAATTTGATGCAAATCATTTAATCTGAATAGTTTCGAGACGGACTTGAACGGTCTTCACGGGCAGAAATGTTAATTAAAGAGAACATCATTGGATTTCTGGCAGAACTGCGCTGCACAAGAAGGCGACCTGCCAGACTGCCAGACTGTGTTGTTTGTAAAATTGAACTAGTCAAACAACCATTAGCGCTTCTCACAAGTCCCTAAAATGTCTCTCATCATCTCCTCAATTTCCGTATCTCCCATTTCTCCTGCCCAACGAACCCAATCCATCTTCCATCTCAAGTGCTCCGGGGAGGGTGGCCGTGTAAAGCTGAAATAGTCAAGGTTGATGGAGCCGAGGTTGATTGACCCCGACTGCAATGGCAGCAACGAGCAAGACAGCAACGCTAAGCCACAAGAGGATGACGGCTCCCATATGGCTATCAAAGCCGAGGTTCCTGAGGTAGAAGAAGTGGCTGCTTGCGAGAGGGATCGCACTAAAAACCGACGATGACGCGGACAATATCTGTGTTGCTGCTGCTGCCCCCTCTCTGCCCCGTGCTGCACACGAAAATGTGAAGGCGAGGCCGACGAATATTAGGGAAGCAAGGTAGATAGCAGCCTTACCGGCCGCTTTCAGACCGTTAGAAAGAGCAAAATGGAAGATTGTGGTAGTAAAAAGCGTAAACAAGATCAAGGCTATGCTGGGGTAGGCTTAATGCCTTGCATAGCGAATCTCACTGTAACGGTCGATAAGACACATTGTTCCTTGTCCTTATAGGACACTCATTACCGTTCCAGCTTAGTAACGAAACTTAAGAATACAAATAGTTCATAGTCCATAGTCCATGAATAATAAATTCATTCTCTCTGTGGGCTCGCAGACAGAGTGCAATTTGATTCGGTGTGCAGGTGGCCTGATCTCTTTCCTTGCCGAAACATGACAAAGACAGGAAACATGTGGTACAGTCGAACTGAACTTGCTTGATTTCCCGCGTGTGTGCGGTACCGCTACAGCCCATATATCATGGGCCCAGACAAACGACATGAAGGCCAGCACGCCTGAAGTATTGTGTCGAAACTAGTAGGCTAGATCTTCCAGAACCCTACGCTTGCAACAGTCATTCCTTTGACCAGCAAGTGACGAGAGACACCCTTATACCTGGCCAGCAACCCCCAGGTCTTTGAGTATATTTCCCGTAGAGGATCTTTCAGCCGTAAAGATCTGTTAATTTGCTTCTTGAGCTGCTCTGCTACAGAAATAGCGTGGCATGAGTCAGAGGTCAGCCGTTGTTATACCCGGAACACCCTGGAATAAAATGATGCCACTCATCTTCATACAAACCAGGCCCGGTGGTCACATCTCTCATTGTTGAATCACGCTCCCATCTGAGTGGAGACCTTCTGAGCAACATGCACGGCTTGTATCCATAATATGTTGTATACGACTTACGGGGATAGATGTGCTCAATAGCCTCAGGATTTCTATGCGTATCTGGGCGTTAGTGGCTACAGGAACATTAAAGGTTAATTTTGACGTCATAAGTAAGTCTGTGTGGCTCCAAAGTTTGACCAGCTGTAGTAAAACAAATATCATGATGTCCTTAAAGCTGGATCAAATGAGCCTGCAATGAACCGCCTGGTGTGTTCATTTACAATATCTTTGACTTCAAACAGATTAATTAAACTACAGAGGAACACGAATGCACCCACTCCTCTACATTATCGTTTTCGTGTTTATCTAGCCAAGGCGACAACTCTCCCCCTCCGGTCATTGAAGATGAGCTGGAAGCTCTGGCTAGCTCTGGCTCTGGCTCTGGCTCTGGCCCTGGCTCTGGCTCTTCCCCTTGCCGTATAAGTTATCTCCTGCTCTGATCCGGGTTTAAACTGGAGAGTGCCTTAGACCACACTTTGGTGTGCAATATTATTGCTTCACATTTAGACTGACGAGGGTAATTGTATTGATTTGTTATTAATACTGTCTGCTTAATTGCAGCCTTGACCTAAGTTTTAGGTCAGAGTCTATAACATCCCAGTTCACCATCTGTAGCTTAGGCCCACTGAGGTAACTCTGTTATAGTGCCTTGAGCATCACGCAGGATATAGAATTCTGAAACATGGGGTCAGAAGTGGTGTCTACTACTCAAACGTTTCAAATTTACCCCGATTTATGGGACCATTGGAGTAGTGGATTATCTCGTCGTTCTTATATTTGGGTCTTTGTGCCCAACTATGGTTAGAGATGCGAAGGTCACCAGTTCGATCCTGGTATGGTCCAGTTTTTTTCCCCGCAGAACTTATTATTAACAATAATCGGGGTTTTTTTTTTTTTTTTTTTTTTTTTTTTTTTTTTTTTTTTTTTTTTTTTGCGGGCGATATCTCATAATCCCTGGATGATGACGTTCTGGTAAGGACTGTCGCGCCGTCGTCTTGTAGAAACCTGGCTGATACTGTATATATGGTCGAAATAAAATTTCATCTACTGTTCCAGTGCATGTGAGGATATCACGGGGACCCGAAAGGAAAGTCTCGACACAGCCAAAGCTCCTTGATGCTGTCCTCCCAAAAGCGAAAGACGTGACAGGGGCACCCTGGAATTGCCGTATCTGTAAGCGGCGAATCATCTCCCCCAAGTACTCTGCGGAATCAATGGTATAGAAGCAGCCACTTACAAAGACTAACGTCTGTCTACTTGTCAAGTGGCTGCATGAAAAGACAGGCTACACCATAACTGAACCCAAAATCAATAGCTGCCTCAATTACCGCGCATTTGACACCATCGATGACCTCTCCCTTAGAGATGCTTTTTGCTTTCTGCAGAAGTCAGCTACACACCCTAGATTGGAATGACATTTGCGAGCCTTCGGTTGGGAGTGATTGGTCTTGCTGTGAAGCGGTTTGATCGACTGCGCATCATGCTCCTGCTACTGATCCCTAAGAAGCTTCAAAGGCTCGGCAATGGGATGAATTAATCTACTAGTGAAACGTTTGCAAGGCGCTTCGCAGTATAAAGCTCTCGGCCTAACTTTGTAGAGGCTATATATGAGTTCTACAAAGGGAGGGATAGTAGGTGTAAAGACTATTGATTCCCTTAATAATACTTACATACTGTAGAAAAGCTAACTGCCTATAGTTGCCTTATTATCTAAGAATAACTTAGTATTATAATAGTTAAAAATAAAACTTTCTAATAGCTTCGGTTACTATGGCTTAGAAGGGATAAACTTATTAAATGCTAGTATATTTATCAAGTTTAATTATGGGGAATAAAACATTGTTTCATGTTATCATTGTTTCAATAAACTAATTAAACCTTTGAAAGATGCCTAGTTTTACTTGCACTTGCATCCTTTGATAACCTATTCTGTGTTTATACACGTTGACGGTAAATTGTTGATGCTCCATTGCCAAATGAACATATACGAAAGTAATACGGGCTATCCTGTCTCAGCTGATACATACATGAGGGAAGAAAAGCTTTCTTAGTTATCCTGAAACTTCAATGCAATTTGAGGATCCTCAGTCACAGCTGATCGATGTGACGATACGGGTCTTATATACTGCTTGGAATGCCAAATGTCGATTTGGAATTCTGGTCTTTTGGCCGAGTGGTCTACTTTGCAAGCAGTAAGTAGATTCGTCTCAATCGATCCAGGGAAACAGCTTAATTAATCCATAAAGTTGTCCAACAGTCAGTCACGTGGATCCAACGGACCATCATGTGAACGCCAGCTGAATATCGCCTAGAGGATTCGACAAGTTTGAGCGGCTCGATGATTAGATGCTGTGAAAATTAACATTCAAAATCTTCCAGTTGCTGTTGTTCGTCACTGCGTTTATTATAGGACTTGCCTCTTAGATTGTTGGTGCTTGCTGGCTATTTCGATACTAATTGTGTGCTGGCCTTATGTGTGGCTCACTATAGGTGAAGGATGGCCCTTATTGAGACCATATCATAATGTGCATAAGAAAACAGCATGACATTTTTGCCTGTTACTTTGTTGGTTGTATATCATCATACAGACGTGATATATATGTGCACTCTCATGATGGATCTCAATGCTTTTGATAAGGTGTCGTCAATTAATGGCAGCTGAATGTCCTGCCACAGTAGATAGAAAATAACGTACAGCCCAAATTGATCTCATTCTTTTCCTCTTCACTGGCTGCACATCCATAGCAGGCCAAATGCGTGTATGTCAGCGGTAATATGTATAGTTGACTGCCAGCTGTACTGACTAATAAATTGTAACTGGATAGATCGGTTAAAGTGGCGGCGCATTATGGCATAATAGAGCGCTCGCTTCGGCACCGACGGGCGTCATCGCCACTTCGTCTCAAGTACGGTCCCTTGGCATTTGCTCCGAAATAACTTCGGACTTCGGCACCTCCATTGGTAATGGCGGTCAAATTGTGGCTCAGACATGAAACATCAGATTGTTGGAATGGCCGGGGCTACCACCACCCAGGCAATTTAAGCATATGACATCAGTCACTCAACTGACTCGGCATCTGTAGGACTACAGGGCTGCTTTCAAAGGTTAACACTATCCACGTGCGTCCACGGGCGGTCCGATCCGGTTAAGACTTGCAGGCTGTTCGCATCGCGACTCATGGATATCGGGCACGTCTTCTTGGCCCCGGAGTCAACGCGGCAACGGCGTCAAAGTGTAACGATAAGCGAATTATGCAAGGAAATACTGGGGTCAACTGGGGCTATTTTTACAAGAATTTGGGAGGGGCCCTGATGGATATGCCGGTGATCGTAGCTAGCACGAATCGTCATGTTCATGGTTCCCCAGTTTCAGTCGATAACGTCACAGTGATTATTGGTCAAAGGGTGTAATAAAGTGTGCTGATGCTTTCACCCTCTCGACTATTTGGGTTCGAGGCAGCTCACATTGCGGTCACTCTGGCTCGGCCCTGAGTATTTGACCAACAATTCCGAGCCCGCAATGGCAAGCTATCAAGTACACCTGCAACCCGTCGTCGACTGGGACGCAAAGCCGTTGCCACCGCTCCCGCTCGATCCGGGGCGCTCGCGCAGGCCTTTCAAACCAGTACTCAACAAAGATCCCGAGCATTCATTGGTGGCTAGGCAAAGGAGAGGAAACGTGTTTCCTCCGGATCTTGATATTAAGAAAATCCAGGAGGCCGACTCTCAAGTGGTTACAGACAAGCCTAGGCGAACACGACCAAACCATCATTTGTCGCCCTCCACAGCCAGCGCACCAGACAACCGCTTGACGATGAAGAGTGAATGGGACACGGTACCTGACAGATTTCGACACTCACGCCAAAAGTCTGACCAGCCGACGAGTCGTTGTGCTCGCAGGGAACCACTTTCAGCTATCACGACGGTGGAGGACCTGAGTCTGCCGCCGAAGGTGAGACAAATTATAGGCGTCGAAAGCCCTCGCAAGGCAAAGGCAGCGCAGTGGAATCCAATTTCGACGCAGGCTGCTCCAAGTCCAATAACGACAGCACGCCCGATATCGACAACAAGCGCGTACAGCCAGGCTAGTGGGCCTAAACAAGAAATGTTGTTCCACATGGAGGAAATCGTGGAGGAACAAGAAAGAACGGAGGATGATAATGAAATCCATCGGCGTTTGGAAAGTTTAATTCAGTCGGCTGGTTTCGCAGCGATAGGCTGCTTCCCTGACGACTCGGCACCAGATTCGCGCTTCTCACTCGACGCTGCGACTTCACGCCAGGATGAGCCGCGACAGCGAGTACCTACAAATTACCCCGAGCAGCCACCGCAAGACCAAAGGAGTAGTCGAGAGATGTATCACGACTTGGTGATAGAACTGGCACAGAGCGCACCTGCCGCTCTGCCACCACCGCCGAAACCCCCAACTGAGCTCGACGGACGCCCATCTGAGTCCTCGGCTTTGCACCACCGGCGACACTACTCTTCGCTGTCGAAAGAGACTAGTCAACTACACCGTGGAGACGGACATAAATCCTGCCCACAACTGAGCCGGCCAACTCCAAAGTCACCGCACATCAGTGTCTTCGACCACGACTCTTCAGACTCGGAATCAGACTCGGACTCGAAGCCTCTTTGGTCGCCCAAATTCGCGTTCCTGGGACGCCGACCAATTTCAAAGCCCAGCAAACGCCGATGATCAGAACAAATTTCTGTCGCAGTGCGAGGGAGAGTGGACTAATCTGGGGGGTGTGCAACAACATGGATCGAGAACCACACGAGTTGGTTTCAAAAAGCCATTTGCGAAGAGTTAGTAGAATCAGGGAGCAGCTTGAGACATGCCTACGTCAAAAACCCTTCAATTTCTGAAGCTTCCTTCTATATACCCAGCACGCATTCTTTTTGCATGTAAATATGACTTCGTGTAAATAGGATCTGAGGACAACAATACAGTTCTGAGATAGAATGAGCGATTTCGATGAATGAGGCATGAAACAATGAGCTGTCCAGATCGGCTGCTCTCACCTGTCATGGGTGGAGGCTGAACTGTTAGACGTTGGCACGCGACACGGATTCCTTGTCGCTTACATCGTGATAGGCCGCGAGACCAGCCATGTGATGATGAGATGAAGCAGATGCAGTGAGAATATATCCCTCACGTCACTATTATCTTATACACAGCCATGGCATCTATTCAGTGAACCACTTGGGCAGTGCTCAGTATCGAACCTCCTATAGAATAACCCCTAATGAATTGAACTCCTGTGGAACAACCTCTTGTAGGACAATCGGGTGGAAGGTAAGCAAGCCGCAGGGGCTCCGCATTGCCGCTTTGCAAGGTTTTAAGAATGTGGCTATGTTACCGTCAAAATGCATTGCACGCCAGAAGCCGATTCGTACCTAAGTAGGTATCCACGAGCACTATATACATGCAGCGAAAATCGCGAAGGAAATTTCCGTTCTATTCGTTTGATTTCCCATCATGTAGAGAGCTTGTCCAAATACCAGATAGGCTCGGGAGCGCGTTCTGCATACATCATTCCGTTCGAGCTCTGGGTTATAGTTGAATTATCAGTGGGGCAACTCAATCTGTGCCAGTTCAATAAGAATATATATTTATGCAGTCTACATATACATCCAAGCGCACTTATGATTATCCCTTGTATCCTTCGTTCCTTCATCAGTCGTTTATTCTGGAGCCCAGAAACGATCGTTTCTGTCGCTGCCAGAGTTCCTGCTTGACGTAGCGAGGCAACAATCTTTCAAGTTGCAGGCTACTTAAGTACACTCTGAACTCCCCGCTGCAGAGCTGAAGCCATTACTCTGATCAAAACACACTGGGG